TTAAATGGAACGCCTCAGAGCGAGGTAACGCCTCATGAGTCATGTTTTTTCGTGCGTGCAGCCGGCTCCATCGAATTATAAGACGTTGTCACGTCAAAAACCTGCCTAAGTACTGAAAATTGATAATTAAGATTGTATTGAAATAGGTCGTTTATCCCAATGCTAATACCAAGCACCCAGCGGTTATCCGGCTTATTCATATGTGTTACTGATTTATTTAATTTTATTTCTAATGCAGCATTTATGTTCTTTGATTCTTACCTTTAGGCTGGCACTACTTTGTTCAATGCGTCACACTCTTTACGTTTCAATTCTAATACTTAACGAAATGGAGCTATATCATTTCGTAAAAATAAAAGAAGAATTAAAAAGATTAAAACAAAACACTGTTATGGAAGGGAAAGACCGAATATAAAGATAGAAGACGAAAAATTAGAAGAAGTGGCTGATTTTTAGGTATCTAGGAAGTCAGATAAGTCAGGACGGAAGGAGTGGCAGTGATATAAAGCAAAGGATAGCTCAGGGTCAAGTCGCCTTCAATAAATAGAAGTCAATTCTTTGTTCGTGAAAGGTTAATTTAGAAATTCGAAAACGGCGCTGTATGGGTGCAAAACATGGACAGTGGGCGCTGTGGAAAGGGAAAGGTTAGAAGCGTTCGAAATGTGGTGTAACCGACGAATGATGAGGATACCGAGGATAGAGAAGGTTAGGAATGACGAGGTAGTAGAAAGAATAGGAGAACACAGGACTCTACGGAAGTCAGAAATAGGCGAGATAGGTTGGTAGGACACCTTCTCAGGCATGAAGATGAGTCAGTCAGAGTCCAGAGACATATTAGAATCAGTAACGGAAGTTAGAAGGGGTAGAGGTAGACCTAGATTAGATTACTGTTCGCAAGTAGTTAAGGATGTGGGTTGTTCTAGTTTTAGGGAAATGCGAAGATTACCTCAGGGTAGGAAAAGAGTGGAGGTGGGTGTCCAACTAGTCTTAGGACTAGGTTTGCCATCTCTAAAATTTGGAAACCAGGACAAGACGCGTGAAAACCCCGGAATTTAGAGTCCAGAACCCGGACATGTCAACAGGTTTTTTTAAACATAGTCAGTGTAACAAAAAACAGTTGAAAATGTCATAAATCACCCTTTTATTTATTTTCAGACCTTAAAATTAAATTTAGTCATTCTTTATCATCATTTTCAATGTACCTAACAAAACNTTTAATTCCTTAATTGACCAATACACAAAGTGTTGCGGCTACCGTGTTGGCATGTTAAAAAAAATCAATTATGGATTCTAGTAGTAGTAGTGGTCGTTCTTCTCCGACTATATAATAATGGAAAAAAATCTGGTCAAAAGGCACCCCCTCTCGTGATGGCCAAGGGTTCAAGGTCCCCGCACGAACAGGTGTACCACTGTATCAAACAGTGATCTGTCGGGAATGTTATTACCTGGCCCTTCTTCGTAGGTATACGACATAAGACTTTAGTCGAGGGTTTGATACAGCATCATCCATGCAGTCACCCTCCCGCACCTTTTCACGTTTCTTTTTAAATCTATCTTTAGTATTCGTTCTCGTGGTTCCCATAGTGCATATAAACACGGCGAAGTCGTAATTTTTGATCTGACAAATTCGACGGGAGGGCGCGACGGTACGGTCGCCCTCAGAAATATCTCATTTCACTAAAAAATACACGTTTTGCACCCTCTTTTTAAACAGGAAATCGTGTGTAGCTGTTGCGCATTTGGCGGAAATGAATTTCACCCTCTAATGTATAAAGTTAAATACAGTGGCGTATGGTATCTATAGATACATATGCTGGTGGTTATTTTCTAGAATGTTCTTTTATAGATTAATAGATCATCATCACAAGGTCATCAACTGACTGAACATTCACCTTTGCTTTTTCTTATCTCGCGTCAATCTTCCTGGAAACTGCTCTATCCTTATAACTTTGTGCTAACAGGAATCTACTTTATATCTTCTTCTTCCTCCCTATACGCCCGTTTCTAATTCTGAAATGTCTCTAAATAGTCCTTGGGGTCTCAGATATTTTCTCTTATTCCTCATTGATTTCTGTAGCGTTTTCCGATACCCCGAATTCTCCTTCTTTTTCATTCTCATTTCTAAATTCTTTCTACCTACATAATCACCACTTTTATCATACTTCTCTGTACATAAGCCTTTCGGATTCTGTCATTTGTGTAGTTTAGACTTTGACAGAAGGCCAATTTTTTATCTTTTATTTTCACTTTCCAACACGTCATGCAATTCTTTTCTCTGCGTACCGCCACTGCATCATACTTTTCCTGAAGAAGGAAACGACTGTGATTTACTAGTGGTGGTTCTTTCACGGTTATTTTTGATTCCATAAAGAAATGCCAAGACGGCGGTTTTTAATTGGAAACGGGTGGTGGTGGTCGTCTGGGGGACGTCCCTACTTTTTCGTGGGAAAACTATTAACATTTCCTTGCCTTCACCATGGTTGATTGGGCGTTAATGAATGGTATAAATAGAATTTCTTTCAGGCTCATGCGGAAAATATCGTAAACTAACCGAACGTAAGTGATTGCATGGAATAGAACACCCATACGTTACTAGTGACCAAGTGTCACTATAAAATGGTATCGTAAACATTTGTAGTTTCAATAAAAATAATCAAAATCCACACGTATTCAATGTCCAACTGCGCGAAATTTTTACTACTTATTCCTACGTCCGATTTGGACATGAACCTAATTTGTTTCTGGTGTAGAAATGAAACGTCAGTGGCAAAAAAATGCGTTTAAAAGTCAATTTGTATTTGAGATTACCCCCGTACACATGAAAAAAGGTCGAACGAACTACGTAGCCGGACCATTACGTCGCCGTTTCATAGTCAACTTCCTTTCTGCTATCTCGATCGCCATCGAATTCACCTTACTCTTTAATGATCGAGAACTCACGCAGCTTTGGCCGTCTCCCTCTGGCGCCCGTGGTTCGCGATCGCGTTAAAAAAAGACGCGAGATACAGCGCGAACTTCGATCCGGTCCATCAAACGTTCTTGGACGGGATTATTATTAGGTAAGATCAGGTAGGCCGGGGCGTTCCGAAAAAGAAGAAGAACGCCAGGTAAAAAAATGAGAGCACGCTGACCCCGGATGACGAAACAAATAGAAAAAAAATCAGTGTGCTCCAAGGAAAGTGAAAAAGATGGACTGCGGGGACCCCGCGCTAAACGTTGTGTGTTTTTTTGTACTGCCGGATATCATATCTTTTGTCAGTCAGTTTTATGGGGTTGCTGCGCTGCTGTTCAAGGCGGAAATTGTAACTCTCGATATCCTTGAATGAATGGTATTCATTTGAATACCTACCTACATTATCATCATAAGGCCGTCAGTCCTAAGACTGGTTGGACACGCACCTCCACTCTTTCATATCCTGAGCTAATCTTCGCATTTCACTAAAACTAGAACAACCCATATGTTTAACTATTTGCGAACAGTAATCTAATCTAGGTCTACCTCTACTCCTCTTAACTCCTGTTTCTGCCTCTAAGAGATCTCTGACTAACTCTTCATGCCTGAGAATGTGTCCTACCAACCTATCTCGCCTACTTCTTATTGACTTCCATAGAGTCCTCTGTTCTCCTATTCTTTCTAATACCTCTTCATTTCTAACCTTTATCTACGATATCCTCATCATTCGCCTGTAACACCACATTTCGAACGCTTCTAACCTCTTCTTTTTCGCCGCGCCCACTGTTCATGTTTCGCACCCTTACAGAGCCATGCTCCAAACATACACCTTTTTCGAATTTCTAAATTAACCGTTCGCGAGTTAGAAGTGACTTCTTTTTATTGAAGGTGACTCGACCCTGCGCTATCCTCTGCTTTATATCCCTACTATTCCTTCCGTCCTGACTTACCTAACTTCTTAGATATCTAAAATCGGGCACTTATTCTTTTCGTCTCCTGTCTTTATATTCGCTCTTTCCCTACTTTTTCTTCCCTTGTATTTTTGTTTTACTTTTATTTTTTTCCATACAGTACTTTTTCGTCAATACCGCTTCCATTTTATTTAAAGCTATCTTTAACTCCTCCTTGCTAGATGCTAATACAGCTATATCATCTGCAAATCTAAGCATACTAATCTTTTGCCCTTGCACATCTATCCCTACAGTTGTACTGTCTTTAATGATGTTGATCGCGTCTTCGATGTATAGATTAAAAATCCTACCTACTTATGCCAACTAATTTACTTATTGTTAATAATATAATTTTGAATACTAATTAAAATATTTGAGTTAATAAATAATTATCCCCAAAGATGGTAGGGGACATCTTTCATTCAAAGATTAATATCAATGTCATTGAAATAGCTCTCAGCTTGCTGAATCTGAAGTCCTACTTCAAATCGTGTTGAAAATCATCACCAAATTGTTAACGAAGAAAACTTAATGAAGTCGTACGTATTAAACACTTAATAATTAAGTTTTTGGCTGTAGACCCATCCTAGTCAAAGACAACTTGTTTTGGAAAGTCCAAACGTTTTTTAAGATATTGGTTGAAATACTTATACAGGTATTTATGAAAATATCGTAATTTATTCGCCACTCAAGTATTCCAGATTGTTCTGGATCCTTCCGGTCCTGTTATACCTGAGGACAATCTTAAATATTCGAGAACATTCTAGCTCTGGACTAACCCGGAAGCATTAAGGAATATTCAAGTAAATGCAGCTGTGCAGTCTCACTTATTATAAATCAGTATTTGGTGACATTCTGATAGAATTATATACATAAAATGTCCTAATGTGGTGTTAAAAACCACCCCAAGACTCATACATAATGGTTCTAGAATATTCCAGAACATTCTCGACTCATCGGATCGGATATCCTTTAGAACACTCTACCAGAAATATGAAAATGTTCAATTTCTTTTACCCTTGCACAAATTCTATACGAGGTTCGTCGAACAAATTTTAATACAACAATTATTGGGGAAGGTAATTTCTGGTACTCACCTGCGGACACATCTTGCACTGGTACTTTCTGGGCTGTGGTCCACCGTTTTGCATACCACCCATTTTTGTTGCATTGATAGGTTGAGGAACAACGAGCAGGGCCGGACTTGAGCCGGCTACCCCTGGACTAGAACTACTAGAAGTCGACCTACCACTTGCGTAAATACTTGGGCCACCCGGTATATGGTGATCTTCCATCCCTGAAAAGAAAAATAATACAATAATTCAATTTTTTTATTTTAGATTAGGTGTCTTGTATGTATTGATATATAGTCGTAACTTAAAATCATTATGGAATCAACTATCCGAGGTTATCCTTTAGGTAACTATTATTTTTACTCTATTTAAAATGAAGGGTAGTTTTCTTATTCTATTTCATTTTTTTCTTGTTTATGATTCACGATAGANCACTTGCGTAAATACTTGGGCCACCCGGTATATGGTGATCTTCCATCCCTGAAAAGAAAAATAATACAATAATTCAATTTTTTTATTTTTTATTTTAGATTAGGTGTCTTGTATGTATTGATATATAGTCGTAACTTAAAATCATTATGAAATCAACTATCCGACGTTATCCTTTAAGTAACTATTATTTTTACTCTATTTAAAAGGAAGGGTAGTTTTCTTATTCTATTTCATTTTTTTCTTGTTTATGATTCACGATAGAGATAACAGAAGAACTAATGAAAATTAAAATTGTATATTTTCTTTGCTGGATCAATAAAATTGGTCAATAGTGAAGCCACTGCGTCTGGAACGGTTCGCAAAATAATGGCTGACGTAATTTTTAATTACACTTTAATTATTTTATTGGCTCAACTAACGCGGCAAAGTGAGCAGGCGGTGGCGGTGATTCTGACAAAAATGAGCGAACATTTACAGCCTGTAACCAGTTTTAAAGTTTACACAAATGTAAGCAGTTCTAGAGATGTATGCGAAAAAAAAAAACGAAAAACGAAACATAAACCTAAAAGAATATTTCGTTTTTGAATTAGATTTAGGTACCAACCCTTTCTTTTGTGAGTAACTGTAGATCAGTTCACAATAATGTTCTACGTATCTATCTATGGTGTGGTTGGGATAGCGGACCATAGGATGATTAAAACTGTGTTTAATATCGATGATACGGTCTTTTAATCGGGACTTTTAATTAAAAGTCACCAATTTTTTGACGTGTTAAGGATTCTTTAATGTTTAATATTCAGTCGTGCTAAGGCCATACATATAATGCACAAGTGGCTTGGATTCAATGTCAACCAAGGATGTGTTCAATATCGAAAAAATATTGTCGTTTAATCGAAACATTTAATTAAAAACCTTTTGATGTATTGAGCGTGCTTTAGTGTTAATATTCGGTCGTTTGGGTGCGTAAGGGTTTGGGTTACATTATGGTATGGGAGTATTACCATATTTTTATATTTTTAAATGGACCTTGTTGGAGCATACGTAATCCTCAAATGNAAACGCAGAGGAAAATCGAAGTATCTACACCTTAGAAAGATTGTTTTCTTTTTTATTAGCATGCAACTGTTTTAAGTAGAAGATATTTGGGAGTTTCAAGTGTAGATATAGAAAGGTGGGAATTGCTTGGGTGAATTATTGTTTTGTATCCTAAAGAAAACGCTGATGAAAATCAAAAAGTACGTCTTCGAAAGATTTTCTTTTTCTTTTAAGTAGAAGATACTTGGAAGTATCCGGGGTAGGTTTACAAAAGTGGGAATTGTTTGGGTGAATTGTGATGTTGTGAAGTGATGATGTGGAAACACTGATGAAAACTGAAGTACCTACATTTTCGAAAGATTCTGTTGTTTTTTATTAGCGTGCGATTGTTTTGTGTAGAAGATATGTGGAAGTTTCGGAGGTAGATTAAGAAAAGTGAGAATAGCTTGGGTGAATAAATAAAAATAATAGCGGTGCACCCAAAAGAAAACGCTGACATTTTCGAATAATAGTCTTTCTTTCTGTTAATGTAGAAGCGACTGCTTCAGGAAGAAGATATTTTAGGATAGGTTTAGAAAGGTGGGAATTGCTTGGGTGAATTGCGATATACCCAATAGAAAACACTGATGAAAGCCGAAAAGTAGATCTTCGAAAGACGCTTGTATTTTTTACTAATCTAAAGTTTAAAACATAGGTAAATACTTATTTTATTTGGATAATTCAACGGTAGATTTAAAAGAGAGCGAATCGCTTGGATGAACAATGGTGTACCCAAAGGAATACGCTGATGAAAATCCGAATGTAGGGTCCTTAAAAAAGTGTTATTTCGGTTCAGACTGTGACGATATCGTCTAGTCGAAGTAGAAGTAAACAACTACTAGATTGGCAAAAAAACCTATTTTTATGTTTTCTTCCATTTTCTTCTGTCAGCCTCATCCGCTTCTTAGAAATCAGGAAGGACTTTTAGGTAGCAAGTTCTGTTATCAAGGAAAAACAGTTCGGTACATGTATGTCGGAGATTGAGGGCCTACTTATAATAAGTTTTTTTTTTATTTTTGAGAATTCTGAGAAAGAAACTTTGTTAAAAACCTGTTCTTGTAGACAGGTATGTAGGCGTTGACTAGTTTGCTTCAACTAAAAGGCAAAATTATTTAATAGACCCATCTCAAAATTTTTCGAATTGAGTTCTAATGAGCATGCAAATAATAATAAAAAGGTTTGTTCCACTGAATAAAATAACTGTTCAAAATAAACATACATTAACCTACACGTATGTAGTTAATAAATAATAAAATAAATAATGAGAAGTGTTAGCGACAACTTTTTTGGCTCATAAATAAGCCAATATTCGTAAAAATAGTAATATTACTTTTTTTTATGTGTCTCTTTTTCTTATTAAAGCCTTCCAGCCATTTAGAATGAGTAAAATACGTAGGCTTTTCATCTGGTCTTATGGTCGCATTAAAAAACCAGTTTCCATGTGAATTAACTTTTCAGTAGGCGGAGCAGTACTGACCTCTAATAATGTTAAGCGCCTTGTGATATGTCACCAGAAAATTGGGACTTACGTACTAGAGACTTAAATGTCCTGAAGGTTTGATAAATTAGCACCAGTACGTTCTAAAATAACGTATCAGTCCTCTTTTATACATATTTAGTTGTTAATTTGTATAATTTAAAGACAAAAAGACTTTAAAAATTTTGCCTGTCTGTTGATTAAATCGATTTCGATAGGACAGTATGAGAATGAAATGAATTGTTTTTTAGTTATAATTATTACTAGAGATGGGCCTGGTGTCCGGTTTGGTTCAGGCATAACCGTCAGTTCCGGGTAATTCTACTAGAAAAAACACTGATGAGATCCAAAAAGATCGAAATCGCGATCCGCGTCTGGCAGTTTCGACAGAATACAGACCACTTCGAATTATTTTGTTGGAGTATTACCATGGCTAATATTTTAAGTCATATGCACCATCCAAATTTGGACGGGTTCAACTAGTGCCTATCTATATATATGTACAACGTATACATAATATGTTTAAAGGAACGAAATTAAAGTTTATTAAACCCTTTCGTGGGTCATTTTTTTGTGTTAGCGTGTTGCCCAGTTTCTCCTTTTCCTGGTCGCATTGTGGTTACGTGAAACCATCGTCGATGGGCGTTCGAGAATTCGGAATCCAAACTATCAAGAAGGAAGGTCATTAACTGCATCGAAATTTGCAATTTTTATATGAATATTTGGACAGAATAGAAGTTTGCAACTTGTAAAACTGGTTGGGCAAATTATTGGACTAACAACGCCAGCAGACTCCTACTTAGAAAGGAAATAGTCGGCAGGTACTGTTGCGATTCTTTTAAAGTAGACAACATATATTGCAGTTCAATTTATATACAGTTAGTCCCACAACCTTAGTGTGTCTAATTTAAAAACAATCACCATTGCGTTTCATTTTCGACTTTCAGTCTAATGATCCTTTAAATAAAAATTCACATCTTTTTTATTAGCATGCGATTGTTTTAAGTAGAAGATATTTGGGAGTTTCGGGGGTAGGTATAGGAAGGTGGGAATGGCTTGGGTGAATTATTGTGATGCACTCAAAAGAAAACGCAGATGAAAATCGAAGTATCTACACCTTAGAAAGATTGTTTTCTTTTTTATTAGCATGCAACTGGTTTAAGTAGAAGATGTTTGGGAGTTTCGAGGGTAGGTATAGGAAGGTGGGAATTGCTTGGGTACATTATTGTGATGTATCTGTAAGAAAACGTAGACGAAAATAAAAGTACCTACATCTTAGAAAGATTCTTTTCTTTTCTATTAGCATGCAACTGTTTTAAGTAGAAGATATTTAGGAGTTTCGGGGGTAGGTATAGGAAGGTAGGAATTGTTTAGGTGAATTATTGTGATGTATCGAAAGAAAACGTAGATGAAAATCGAAGTATCTACATCTTAGAAAGATTCTTTTCCTTTTTATTAGCATGCAACTGTTTTAAGTAGAAGATATTTGGGAGTTCCAGGGGTAGATATAGAAAGGTGGGAATTGCTTGGGTGAATTATTGTTTTGTAACCTAAAGAAAANTGCTCGTGTAATAATTTGTGTGTATATTAGTTTGCCATGCTACCTCTCTACAGTTGCCAAGGTGTATTAGAGATTCGCGCTACACACTTGCATTTCACCTGTAGACTATGTAAAATAGCTGGGCCATTTGTGTATCATAAAGTTGAAGTGGTCGAACAGGAAATCGCTTACGATTTTTTTGGTCATAGAAACAAAAACCCGCCAAAATATTGCACATATGATTTTGTTTGTAACCATATGGTCAGTCTGGGCATCAACCGATTCATTGGGATATTAAAACCAGAGACCCACAAACAACTGCATGCATGTTTAAATAAGAAAATTTTACTATGTTTCTATCACGTACAAACATTAAAAATCTTAACTAGAATTTTACAGAGGAAGATGGAAAAATGGGCGCAAAAACTATTAGGGGAAGTGGGAATAAGTTACAAAGATAGAAGAGTGATACTTAGTTTGTATAAAGAGCAACAGGCAGTTATAGAGATGGGGTTGCAATGTAGAGAAGTAAATATTAGGAAGGGAGTCAGACAGGGATGCACACTGTCACCGCTACTGTTTAATCTATATATCGAAGACGCGATCAACATCATTAAAGAGAGTACAACTGTAGGGATAGATACACAGGGGCAAAAAATTAGTATGCTTAGATTTGAAGATGATATAGCAGTATTAGCATCTAGCACAAGGAGTAGTTAGAAATAGCTTTAGATTAAATGGAGGCGGTATTGACAAAACAGTATTGTATGAAAATAAATAAAAGTAAAACTAAAATACTGGTATGCAAGGGAAGAAAAAATATGGAAAGATAGAATGTAGATAGGAGACAAAGATCAGAAGAAGTGGCTGATTTTAAGTATCTAGAAAGTTAGATATGTCAGGACTGAAGGACTAGTAGGGATATACAGCAGAGGATAGTACAGAGTCGAGTCGCCTTCAATAAAAAGTAGTCACTTCATGCTCGCGAAATGATTGTTAAAGCTGTATGTTTGGAATTCGGCGCTGTACGGGTGCGAAACATGGACGGTGGACGTGGCGGTAAAGAAAAGGTTAAAAGCGTTCGAAATGTGTGTTAAAGGCGAATGATGAGGATACCGTGGATAGAGAAGGTTAGAAATGAATAGGAGAACAGAGGACTATATGGAAGTTAATATGAAATAGGCGAGATAGGTTGGTAGGAGACCGTCTCAGGCATGAAGGTCCAGACATATTAGAGGCAGAAACGGGAGTTAGGAGGGGTAGAGGTAGACCTAGATTAGATTATTGTTCGGAAATAGTCAAGAATGTAGGATGTTCGACTTTCAGGGAAATGCGAAGATAATCTCAGGATAGGAATGAGTAGAGGTGCTTGTCCAATCAGTCTTAAGACTGACGACCTTATGATGATGAAATCCTATTTTGGACAAAATTCTTCACAACTATTAAAGCGGATATAATTCTACCACTGAAATTCTGTTCAGAATTTACAGAATTATCCCGAATTTTATTTTGTTCAAATCAATCAAATCAGAAAATTGATACGGCCAGAAAAACAAACTAATTGGTTTATTAAACGGTGAATCATGATACTTTAGTAAAATTTCACCACGCTGGTACATGTACTTAAACGGTACTTTTTTATAATTCCCTTAAGATAATAACAACGAAGGAGGACAAACAACAATGGAGCAGGAAACAATGGTATAGATATCGTTTAGTTAGTTCATTAAAAAATCAACGGCAAATGGCAACATTAATTAATTATTTAATTAATTAACTAATTAATTATGTATTTATAACGTAACAGACCGAATGAACATTGTAGGCGAGAAATTTAATTGAAGTGTGTGATTTTGAAATTATCCGTTTTCCCTAGCGCACTGTGCGTGTCTCGATCAAAAATGCATCAAACTGAGATTTAATTTATGGTAGTTTGATTGTGATGGACGATCGCGAGTTATAAACGCACATCGTGGCACACGGAAAAACAGCAGCACAAGAAAGTGTACACTCTGACCAACAAGAGTACAAAAAACAAAAGAGGTCCAGGTAGTAGCTACACATACATATGTTACCGGGAAATGTATGAAATCTGTCATTGTATACAATTCCTAGGAAATATATTTAATTCCTAAAATCGCCCGGAAGTGTGTGTAATAAATTATATTAGACACATCCTAGGAAATCTATACATTTCCTAAATAGCAGTCGGAAATGTATTACAGGTAATACTAAACAGGCAATAATACGGCAGGCTGTTTGGAGATGTACCTATGTCCATTGGTGACATCATTTTTTTAGGGTTAGGGAGATTTATGACAGACTGGAGTTTCTGTAAGGCCCCTGCCCGTCGGAGACGGGTCGATATGTTGATGTTAGAATAATGTGACGAGTTATCCTTGTTTCAGCAATCACGATGTCCTTAAATTTTTAGTATGTTGTAGAGGTGATAATGCTAATCATTTATATATATATATCTTATAAATCTACCTAATAACCATACAATAACGTCATTAATGCATATACATCTCTAAACCTAACCTAACCAAACAATAACGTCACCAATGCATATACATCAGGCGAAAACGCATTAGAATAGCGTAAATACAGATAACTCTGATTCACAGTTTCATGTGTTTTATTCATTTTATTCACAGAAAGCATTAGTTTTATACATTTCCTAGTATAATATCGGAATTTTATACAATTCCTAGGAAATGTACACATTTTCCAAAATATGTGTGTATTAAAAAATCTTTGATACAAATATTTCCTAAATAGCCTCGGAATTGTATACGTTTCTTAGGATTTGTATACATTTCCAAGGAATTGTATAGATTTCCTAGGAATTGTATACGTTTCCGGTAACATATATTAAAAAAGACTGCGGGTTGATCGGTCCCACACCTGAAGCAGGAATTATTTTAAAAAACAGTATACATTAACTAGGAAATGTACACATTTCCGGTAACAGATATATTAAAAAAGACTGCGGGTTGATCGGTCCCACAGCTTCAAAAACAGCGAAAAAGTTCATTGTGACCCTGTCTGTATTGCATGACTTAAAGCACACCGATTTTTCGAGTAAATTTATCGAGCTCGTGAAGCTTGAGGAATCTATAGTAAGCTACATGAATTTGTACCTATCAGTTTTCATTTAAATCGAATTGAATATGCTATACGTAATAAATAAAGTATCTGTACATAGACGAAATATGACCTTCAATATTCAATGGTACGCTAAAACAAGTTACCTGAAAATGTCAATAGGGTCAAACTTCAATCAAGGCAAATCAATCTTAATCTCATTGACGTGTATAATACCACAAATCAACTTCTGTGTATGTATAGATAGAACGTTTGTGCAAATGAATTTGTGTGTAAGTAATCATGTGTGTATTAAAATTAATAATCGACTTAAGGAAACGAACAAGCACAAAGGATATATAAACATTTTTGTAAGCAAGAGAAATTAAATAAAAAGAAAACGGATTTATTGTTTGCAAGGGTTTTCGATTGAAAGAAACTTACCTTTATGCATTTGATTTTGGCTATCACTCATTTTTGCTTCGTAACCCTGTTTATTTATACCCATCGGATTTCTGGTCCAGTTTGGGTAACCATCTTTGTCATGTTGAGCACACTGTAACAAGGAGAAATAATCTTTTAAACCCATAATCTTAAATTAATATAAATAACTTTGTTTAAATATATCATTCGACCAATATGATCGTCTTTTAGGAATAAAAGGGCTTAAGGAAAGAATTAAAATTAACGACAAATTACGTTTTCGCTGATCAAGCGACAAAATGGGTGAAAATACCACTTTTCAGCTACAAATTAGCGACAAATTTTGATGATTTAGGCTGTAATTTTGTCTATTTTACGGTAAGGGAGTGCAGCGACAAATTTTTGGGCTTGGCAAAAAATTAACGACAAACTAGTTATAGCTCCTTCAGTATTTCTTTACACCATTTCTGTTTTGAGATATGTTGTGTATAGTTCCAGGATGATTAAAGCTATAATTTCGTCTATTTTCCGGTAAACAAGTGCAGCGACAAATTTTTGAGATTGGTAATCAATTAACGACAAACTAGGGATAAGTTGTAACTCCTTCAGTATTTAACTACGCCATTTCTGTTTTGAGATATGCTATTTGTAGTTCCAGGATGATTAAGGTTATAATTTCGTCCATTTTCTGGTAAGCGGGTGCAGCGACAAATTATTGGGTTTGGCAACAAATTAACGACAAACTTGGGAGAAGTTATAGCCTCTTCAGTATTTCTCTACACTATTTCTGTACTGAGATATGCTATTTATAGTTTTAGGATGATTTAGGCTATAATTTCGTCTATTTTCCGGTAAACAAGTGCAGCGACAAATTTTTGAGATTGGTAATCAATTAACGACAAACTAGGGATAAGTTGTAACTCCTTCAGTATTTATCTACGCCATTTCTGTTTTGAGATATACTGTTTATAGTTCCAGGATGATTAAGGTTATAATTTCGTCCATTTTCTGGTAAGCGAGTGCAGCGACAAATTATTGGGTTTGGCAACAAATTAACGACAAACTTGGGAGAAGTTATAGCCTCTTCAGTATTTCTCTACACTATTTCTGTACTGAGATATGCTATTTATAGTTTTAGGATGATTTAGGCTATAATTTCGTTTATTTTCCCGCAACCTAGTGAAGCGATAAATTTTTGAACTTGGCAACAAATTATTGTGAAAATTATAAGTTTGTCGTACCAATTTGGTATACGTATCAATTTGATATACACAAGTATAAAAATTGTTCTGGTGATATGGAGATTATTAGGACCATATCTGTATGGAATACTTTGTGTGTAATGTACTAGTATCAGGCAAGATAATAGGCCAACATTTACTGGTTAGGAAAAAAAAATTTTTGCCATTAAGTAATTCAAAAAATAAATTTCGAGCAAGCACTTTTCCCAGGTTAAAGAAGTGCGGGATGCTCGGGAATGGGGTGATTGTGGGGGGTGAGTGGCGTTGTCTGGTTGCCCGGGCGACAGCAAGGTCATCGTCACACCCCCGCCTCCCCCAGACGTCTCCGCCGCCGACGCCGCCGCCTTCTCCTTGCTGTAGCTCAGCTGTCTTGATTATTACTGATACCAGGGAGCAGAATGTGTTCTTTAGCGTTGCCTGCCTGCGAATATATATATATATATATATATATTTCGAGGTGGAAAGCTACGAAATAGGATAATGTACAGAACGTCAAAAACGACATAAATACAAACGGCTTAAACCAGAATGTTTTTAACCTAAACACATAATTATTTCCATAAGAATATGGTGCCAATCTATCCTTAATTTTAGTCCTTTGATTTACATTAGCCGCAATTTTCTACCTTATCAATGTGAAGGATAATCTTTAAGGATCAGGGGTCCATGCCAGTAACCTCCACCAAAAATTTGATTCAGCTTTTGAAAATCTTTCGTTAATTTTTTTTGACTGTGGTGTAGTACAAAGAAATTAAGTAAATTTGGTAATGTTACACACGATTTTGTATGCAAATATATCGCGTATGTAATGATTCAACCCTAGCAGTTCTTATTATTAAATAACAAGGTACAGTTTTATGTCTAATCTTCACTAAATACAAATGTTTTAATATCTATGGGTCTAGCGTTGGCACATGATAGAAATTAGTGCAGCTGTCTTCGCTTATGTTACAATTTTACTGAATTAGCTGACTATTAAAAAACATCAAATCAAACAATAGAACTAACTAACGAAATTAGTTTTAGAAAATACTACAAATGGCGCAGTAAACGCCACCTGTAGCACATTTTAGGATTACGTATGCTCCAACAAGGTCCACTTGTGTGGATATCTACTTGCTGAAAACGAATCCCGGCGTAGCCAACCTCAACGTGATAGACACGTTAGCTTAATCGAATAAAATAATTCGAAGTGGTCTGTATTTTGTCGAAACTGCCAGACGCGGATCGCGATTTCGATGTCTAAAATGTAGCATCGTGCTACAGATGGCGTTTACTTCGCCATTTGTAGTATTTTCTAAAACGCACTGTTAAGACAGCAGGTAAAAGTTGGTCTGTGTTCTGTCGGAGCTGCCTGCGACGCGCTGATGAGATCCAAAAAGATCGAAATCGCGATCCGCGTCTGGCAGTTTCGACAGAATACAGACCACTTCGAATTATTTTGTTCGGTTATGGTAACGTGCCTATCACGTTGAGGTTAGTTACGCCGGGATTCGTTTTCAGCAAGTAGATATCCATATATTTAAATGGACCTTGTTGGAGCATACGTAATCCTAAAATGTAGCATCGTACTACAGATGGCGTTTACCGCGCCATTTGTGGTATTTTCTAAAACGCACTGTTAAGACAGCAGGTAAAAGTTGGTCTGTGTTCTGTCGGAGCTGCCTGCGACGCGCTGATGAGATCTAAAAAGATCGAAATCGCGATCCGCGTCTGGCAGTTTCGACAGAATACAGACCACTTCGAATTATTTTATTCGAAATTAGTTTTGATTTCCAGAACGTTATCGCTTAATCCCAATGGAATTTATAATACACAAAAGCAGATTCATTTTGAGGGAATTTTAATTGCAAAAACATTTGATGGCTTCGTTATTAGTGAAATAAAGTGGAACGTTTGTGACACACTGTGCATGTTTTTGCAAGTAGATATGGCGTGTGCAGAAACTGCGAGAGACGGTAGGCTCAGTACTCCAGGGAGAGCACCTTGGCAATCCTTTCTTCGTTGGATAGGTCCTACATTTGCGGGGAGGCATCATGATCAGCAGGCGACGGCCCCTGGTTACCTCAATCTGTTTTACTGTGAGACTGAAACGGCGCAGTACATTTTTTTTTTTTTTTTCGTAAATGCCGTAGTCAACGGTTACCAAACCGAGCAATTGAGCGATGTTAAAAGTGAAAGTGTTTCCTCTGCCTTATTAAGTTCGTCCTTGAGGTGACAGAGGGGAAAAGTTTTGCTATTTTCACGCAACGACAGCTATTGAAGTTTTCCAGTAATTTTAATTTTCGAATAACTCGAAAACAACTTAACGAGCGTATTACTTACGAAATCAGTGAATTAATTGAGAGAAACTAATTATCAAATACTACAAAAAGTCCTAAGACTGGTTGGACACGCACTTCAACTCCTTCTTAACTTGAGCTAATCTTCGCATTTGCCTAGAACATCCCACATCCTTAATTATTTGCCAACAGTAATCTAATCTAGGTCTACCTCTACTCCTCTTAACTCCTGTTTCTGCCACTAATACATCTCTGACTAACCCTTCCTGCCTGAGAATGTGTCCTACCAACCTATCTCGCCTATTTCCTATTGACTTCCATAGAGTCCTCTGTTCTCCTATTCTTTCCAATACCTCGTCATTTCTAACCTTCTCTATCTACGGTATCCTCATTATTCGCCGGTAACACCACATTTCGAACGCTTCTAACCTTTTCTTTTCCACCGCACCCACCGTCCATGTTTCGCACCCGTACAGCGCCGTGCTCCAAACCTCCACCTTTAAAAATCTTTTTCTAATTTCTAAATCAATCGTTCGCGAGCACAGAAGTGACTTCTTTTTATTGAAGACGACTCGACCCTGCACTATCCTCTACTTTATATCTGACTGCCTAATAGATACCTAAAATCAGTCACAAACAAGTGCAGCGACAAATTTTTGAGATTGGTAATCAATTAACGACAAACTAGGGATTAGTTGTAACTCCTTCAGTATTTAACTACGCCATTTCTGTTTTGAGATATGCTATTTGTAGTTCCAGGATGATTAAGGTTATAATTTCGTCCATTTTCTGGTAAGCGGGTGCAGCGACAAAATATTGGGTTTGGCAACAAATTAACGACAAACTAGGGAGAAGTTATAGCCTCTCCAGAATTTCTTTACACTATTTCTGTACTGAGATATGCTATTTATAGTTCCAGGATGATTAAGGCTATAATTTCGTCTATTCGCGAACACAGAAGTGACTTCTTTTTATTGAATACGACTCGACCCTGCACTATCCTCTACTTTATATCTGACTGCCTAATAGATACCTAAAATCAGTCACTTCTTCTAATTTTTCGTTTCCTATCTTTAAACTTTTATAAACTACGGAGAAATAATACATAATTCTTTTAATAAATCACTACGTCATCCCTAATATTGAAAAATGGTACAAATCAACTTTTATAACCTATTACTTGTCGTTTCTACTGCCTGTATCTAACACCAATTATTTCTTTCACTTTTCAGACTACAAAATAATTAAAAACAAAATTTCTAGTAGACGAAGAAAGGATTTGAACCCCAAAACATCCCCCTCGCCGACGGCTACGCTACTGCTAGATATTAAACAGCTCCCCGTGGGACTACGACATTAGGGTAGGGGGTGAATTACTGAGCCACCCGAAGGAGATAAAATCGATGACCTGGAGCACACGACCTAGAGAGATGAAGGTCAGTTCAGATATTATGTTCTACGCGTATTTCTAGCAACAACCTACGCACAATTGTCGTAATTGAGATGGAGGAGTAGGTCCTTGACGATCCTGACTGATCAAATTAGGACATTTTCATGAATAGTAAATAATAAATGCGAACATGAATTAATTTACAATCCCTTTTCAAACT